GACGCCGCCGTCTCCGCCAACGCCATCAAGCTCGCCGTCGCCGCGCGCCTCGGGTACCAGTTCCGCGGGGGCGCCAGCGCGGGCGGCGGCATCGGCAAAGAGTACATGCAGGAGCTGGCGCGAGAGCGCAACAAGGTCGCCCTGCCGCGCGTCGTGCCGCACGAGTGGGGTGTGCGGCTGCCGAGCGAGCGCTTCGTGCTCAGTGGCACGAGCTGGGGCCTGCAGGACGCCTGGGACGAGGTCGACGATGACGAGGAGGTGCCCGATGCCGCGGGGGCCGTCGGCGATGCGATGGAGGGCATCCAGGGCCCGGCGCCAGAGGATGTCGGCGGCGACGGCGTTGAGGGCGGCACCGTAGAGGACATGTTTGGCGACGACGTCGACGAAGAGATGGCTGAATAGTTGTAACTAGTCCTTGAGGGGGAATACCCAAAATATTTGCTTTGTACCGCCGTCAACGAATCGGCGGTTGGAAATGGAACGGCGTTCTTTGGAGTTACTACTGCACCACAGGATCTGGGCAGACAAAATGAATTTTATTTTCTCGCATCAAAATTCCGCTATAAGTACACCGTCTACTTTCCCGGTAGACAGCGTCCGCGATTGCGTACACGCGCAGCACGCCATCAAAGGTTGTTCGAAAAATCTATGCGAATTTCGGTCAAAATCGCGCTTAAATATCTTGGTCTGTGGGTAGCATCTTCAAGCCTCTTGCACTCGATGTCTCTCTGGTTCCTCTTCGCTGACCACTCCTCAACAACCTTTAGTGAGCAGGAATCACCAGATCCCGCGCCGAGCCCGGCAGCGGCACCACCTTGTCCAGCTCGCTCTTGACCGCCTTCCCCATCGCCCCGCGCGGGATCTCCTCGCAGAAGAGCACCCCTCCCGTCGGTGCCTTGTGCGCCGCCAGCCTTGCCGCCACGAAGACGACCACCTCCTGCGCCGTCAGCGCCGCGCCCGCCGCGCTCCGCACCACGTACGCCAGGCACTCGTTGTCCTTGCTGTCGTCGCGGGCCGGCGTCGAGGTCACGCGCGCGTCCGCGATGGCCGCGTTCTGCAGCAGCACGCCCTCCACCTCGGCCGGCGCCACCTCCTCGTACCGCACCTTGAAGATCTCCTTGAAGCGGCCCAGCAGCGTCAGCGCGCCCGTCGCCGGGTCCGCGGCGCCCTTGTCGCCGGTGCGGAACCACCGACCCGGCTCGGTGGAGCTGGGAAGGAAGGCGGTGGCGGTAGCTTCCGGGCTGTCGTGGTATCGGGTAAAGGTGGCCGCGTTGCGGACGCAGACCTCGCCGGGGGCGCCGGGCGGCACCTCCTGCAGAGTGTCGGGGTCCACGATCCTGTTTTCATCGGCATCTCGTTAGCACAGTCGCGGGCATTCCCCACTAGACATATTTTTTTTGGCGCGTAATTTTCGCGTGTGCCAAGAATGATATGGTATATAACCCACTTGATGGTTGTAGACGGCAGGGCTTGGCCGACGCAGCCGGTGACCCAATCGTCGGTGATGGCAACGCCAGAAATTCCAGGCAATTCAGTCGCGCCGTAGCCAGTCAGCACCACGGCGTCGGCAGGGAGCATCTTCCGGATGTTATCGACGACTTGCTGGCGGCAGAGCGCCCCCGCGAAGAACACCTGCCGCAGCGAGGCCACGCGCCGCCGCTCCTCCGGTCCCGCCCCAAGCGCGGCCGCCATCGCCTCCAGGAGCGGCGGCGTCAGCATGGTAGTGCCGATGCCCAGCGACTGGATCCGATCAATAACGGCCGCCGCCTCCCGGGCCCTGGAGATGTACGTGGAAAAGCCGCTGCCGCCGCCCAGGCTGGCGCGCGTGTGATACATGGCGCCGCTGACGTGGAACATGCCAATGACCAGCAGGAAGTGCGCGGTGGGCGGCGGCATGGCGGCGATGAGGTCGGCCCTCGCGATCGCGACCTGGTGGGTGATGACGGCTGCCTTGACCGCGCCAGTCGTGCCGCTTGTGAAGAAGCGGAACGCCTCGCGCGCGGCCGGGTCCCCGCCTTCGTTGACGTTGCGGAAGGCGTGCTCCGCCTCCGTGCCGACGTCCATGATGGCGCTCAGGCTGGCCTGCACGCCGCCCGCGTAGGGCTCCAGACCCGGGGGGTCAAAGACGAGGACTGTGCTGGGCGGCAGGCCCGCTTCCCGGACCGTTGCGAGGGCGAGGTCCAAGAACTCGGGCGCGACGAAGAGCCACTTGAGCCCCGCGGCGCGGATGGCGGTGGCCAGCTCCGCCTGCTTGACAAAGGTCGGGATGCCGGAGAAGATGCCACCGCCGGCGACGACGCCGTCGCCGAGGACGTAGTAGTAGATGTCGTTCTCGCTGAGGAGGCCGACGGCGTCCTGGTCGGTGAGGCCGTGGCGCGCGAGGCCGACGGCGATGCGCTTCACGGCGGAGACGTACTCGCGGCGTGAGAGGGAGCGGTCCGGACGTTCCGCGTCGATCAAGATCTGGTGTCATCTTAGCACGGCTGAGATCAAGCGAGGCTTAGTTGCACTGCATACCGGAGGGAGGTCCGCGAGCTCATCGTCCGGGCTGGGGGAAAGGATTCGTGTCGTGTAATCCATCGCAGTGGGCTCGAGTGATCTGACGAGTGCGCCAGCATGTATGATGATCATAATTATCCATCAACAAGAAGGAATCACTGTGACTTTTATAATAACGCGAAAGCCTGGTCCAAGTCATCAGGCTGCCAGCTAAGCCCGGTCCAGGTCAGCAGGCAGCCATCTAAGTCCGCGGCGCGAGATCGACATGTTTTATTAGTACGAGTTTCCCAGGTAGGCATACAAACGCGAAAGAGGACATGAGGGCAGCGACATTATAGAAAAGCACTAGACAGTATATGAAGCTGTCATGAGTATTATTTGTTATTTGTTAATTTATTGCTATGAAGAATTTTGGCTGTTGTTGCGTCTTTGGTGTTGAGCCAAGATATCGGCCTTATTTATAGAAGCCGGCTTTTCGGGCTCGATGCCGTACCCCGCCCGACGCCACTGTGAACTTGGCGCTGTAAGGCTCTGGGAAGGAAAATGACTTGATCTCGCGGGAGGAATTATTCAAGATAGAGTCAAATCGAACCACCAAAATTCAAGGGAGCTATAGGAGAAAATATTAATCTGTTGCATTATCAGATCCCAGCAATAGAACTCACAAGTAAAGTTACCTGGGTTAACATAGCATGACGCCAAGTTCCGATGGGTGGGCCTGATGAGTGGCGGAAATTTTTCTAGGCGATGGATGCAGTACTGTGATCTGCAACATGGCAGTGGGCAAAACTGGGGTGGGCTGTATTGTGTCCGTGGACTGTGCCAGCAGGAAGGTAGATAATGAGCCGTGGTGGCCACGGTGATTTCCCGAGCGGCGGCCGGGATTTTCTTTCTACTAGAAACAACACTCAGCACACTGCCGGGTAACCTCGATGGCAAACGGAGGACTACCTAATCCGGCTCCGTCCCCGGACAAGGGACAAGGTGTCGCCAATGGTCTTGCTAGTCAGTTTCGGATATAACCTTGCCCACCCTGTCCTTGTCCTCCTTGCGCCTTGGACCTTGCCCCAACATCGTGGATCTTGCGAAGTACAGAATTGGTCGAGCGCTTACCCGCGGCGTTCGCCGGACGATTCTGGAGGGCATAAACCACGCCGCGCGAAAACTGTCACGAGAAGGCGTTTGTCAACCTCTCGTCGAATCCAACCAAGACCGCCAGCCAACATCAAACTAGTTGCCGTAGACTCGGAATCAGCTCTCGAGGTTCTCCCGTCAACGCCGCCGACGCTCTGGCTGAGCCAAGGAGATGGATGGCTGCCCGCCTACCCGTCCTCCAAGATGCGGTGGCGCTGCCCCAGACCCAACGCGCCATTTCGGGGGGAGGGGCGCATACCAATGAGCATTGAGGAGGGGCCGTGATCCTTTGCTACAATAGGAAGCTGTGTGCAGATGGACAAAGAAGGTGCGAGAATGGCGCGAGTGCCACTCCGCTCGAGGTCCCTTTTAGCTCCGAGATAACATTCGATAGCGTCGAGATTCACGACTACCCGGTGGTTTGCCATTTGCGGGCAGCGAAGCCCGTCGACGCTGTGATTGGGACGCCGATCAGCAACACTAGCTAGCACTGGCAGCTGGTGCGCCAAGATCTATGCTTATTCTTGGACAACCCTTTTTAGAGGACCCCCTTCAAAAGGTCCTCCAGTAAGCCTGTGACACTGGCATTCCGCCATCATGCCCGATTGGGCAGTTGATTCTTGACAGCTAGCCAGTCGCTGCAACCCGACCGACGCTCTTGCTGCTGACTGGTGGCTTGGCGGAAGTGTCCGGGTTACACTGTCATTTCCCAGTCACCAACCAACCTCGGTGGTGTTGTGCCGGCGGAAGGGGGGGTTATCCAGGTAGAGTTTTATCTGCTGGTTCGATATACCTTCCTACCTCGTCGACTGGCAAGCGTGCTCGCTGGTCTTGGCATCAGAGCCATTCCATTGTCCATTGTCCGTTCGCCGCTTCACTGCCGTGAGCACGGCATGATCACGTTCAGCTTCTTGCGTCAAATAGGAAGGTAAAGGATGAGCAGTTTCGAGGGAAAATGGCGAATGTAAAGGCTATGACAAATGACACAACGACAATGGTGATGCTCAGCGGTTCTTGTCCAACATAAATACCCCTCGACCAGACCGTCTTCCGAGCATTCGACATCATCACTCAACTTGCTCATCCATCCATCCATCCATCCATCCCTCTTCTTCACTTCTCTTTTCAAAAAGACAACTGTCACAATGGTCGGCTTCAAAAGCTTCGCCGCTCTCTTCCTTGCGGCCCTTGGTGCTGCTGCCCCTGCTCCCTCTGGCGGCAAGTACATCATCACCCTCAAGGACACCGTCACCTCCAGCAAGGCCGCCGCGCACTTGCAGTGGGTGAACGATGTCCACGCCCGTAGCATCGGCCGCCGTGACCTCAACCTCAACGGTGTCGAGAAGACCTACGAGATTGGCAACTTCAACGGCTACGCTGGCAACTTTGACACTGCCACCATTGAGGAGATTCGCAACAACCCCGAGGTATGTCTGAGACTTACGCCCCCAATATGCAGGGCCTCCCAATATTCAATCACTCCCAACACGCAATGACGCCCAATATGCAATCACTCCCAACGCTGACTCGCTACGTTATAGGTTGAGGCTGTCGAGCTGGACCAGACCTGGACTCTGTATGCCCTGACCACGCAGTCCAACGTCCCCCACGGCCTGTCCACCATCTCGCACCGCCAGTCCGGCGCCAGCAACTACATCTACGACAGCAGCGCCGGCCAGGGCGCCTACGCCTACGTCGTCGACTCTGGCGTCAACATCGACCACGTCGAGTTTGAGGGCCGCGCCACCCGGGGCTACAACGCCGCCGGCGGCCAGGACGTCGACACCCTCGGCCACGGCACCCACGTCTCGGGCACCATCGCCTCCAAGTCGTACGGCGTCGCCAAGAAGGCCAACATCGTCTCCGTCAAGGTCTTCAGCGGCCGCACCGCCGACACCTCCGTCATCCTCGACGGCTACAACTGGGCCGTCAACGACATCGTCGCCAAGCGCCGCCAGACCCGCTCCGTCATCAACCTGTCCCTCGGCGGACCCGTCTCGACCGCCTTTGACCGCGCCGTCGCCAGCGCCTACAACCAGGGCGTCCTCAGCGTCGTCGCCGCCGGCAACGAGAACCAGGACAGCAACAACGTCTCCCCCGCCCGCGCCCCCCAGGCCATTACCGTCGCCGCCGTCAACGCCAACTGGGCGCGCTGGGTCTGGAACTCGCAGCAGGGCTCCAACTACGGCACCCCCGTCGACATCTACGCCCCCGGCGAGGACGTCCTCTCCACCTGGATCGGCTCGACCACGGCCACCAACACCATCACCGGCACCTCGATGGCCTCCCCGCACATCGCCGGCCTGGCCATCTACCTGGCCGTCCTGGAGAACCTCGACACCCCGGCCGCCATCACCTCCCGCATCAAGCAGCTCGGCACCCAGAACAAGGTCACCGGCAATGTCGGCAGCACCGTCAACCTGCTGTCCTACAACGGTAACCAGTAAGGCAGAGGACCAAATTATGTGGAGGATTATCCTTAGTATATAACGGAAAGACATGTATGAATTTATGAATAAATAATTATATTTTTTCTTCGGCCATTATTGACTGCATCTATATCATCAGCTCATCCTCGTAGTTGCTTGCTGAGAATGGACACACATGTATCAGACACGCACTCGGGCGTAGCATAATAAAGCATACTTTGATGAACCAGAATCCTTTACATACATATCTCCCTCACTTACACAAAGTTTATTTTTTTCTTTCAGAATGATTGCTTTAGTAGTTAATCCGTTCTATATTGTCGACGGCAATTCATTTATTAGAGGTCGTCATTGTTGCCCCACTTTTACTACTTGGCAAAGGCATCCTAGCCGAGTCCATGCTCTCTCCAAGAACTGTCATCGCAAGGCAAGGGACAGGTGGCAACATTGATCGCCAGAGAGCCGCAGCAATATGAGCGCGGCGCTGACGAACCCATCGTCACTTGACTCAGGTATGTCGAATTCGCTTCAGCGGAAGGCACCGTTTTGTTAGCTAACTGCGCCACTGGGTGAACGGACAGTCGACTACGACCCCATCGACCACCTCAACCTGCTCTTCGCGAACCCGGCCTCGGTATCGTCCGTCAACCGCGTCTCGCAGACGCTCCGGTCGCACCAGGATGACCTCGCCGCCGAGATCGGCGCCCTCGAGGCCGCGCAGGCGTACCGACCCGACTCGAGCCTGGAGCGGATGCGGTCGGCGCAGGCGGAGCTCGGGCAGCTGTTCCGCAAGGTCGAGACGGTGCGGTCGCGGGCCATGGAGACGGAGGCGAGCATCACCTCGATGACGGCGGACATCAAGCGGCTGGACGGCACCAAGAAGAACCTGACGCTGAGCATGACGGCGCTGAAGCGGCTGCAGATGCTGACGACGGCGTACGAGCAGCTGCGCGGGCTCGCGCGCGCGCGCCAGTACCGCGACTGCGCGGGCCTGCTGCAGGCGGTGCTGCAGCTCATGCGCCACTTTGGCAGCTACCGCAGCATCGAGCAGATCGCCGCGCTGAGCCGCGAGGTCGCCGAGCTGCAGCGGGGGCTGCTCGAGCAGGTGTGCGAGGACTTTGAGATGGCCTTTGCCAAGGGCGAGGTCGCGGCGCGGCGGGGGACGCTGGCCGAGGCGTGTCTGGTCATGGACGCGCTGGGGGACGCGGCGCGCGCCCGCCTGGTGACGTGGTACGTCAACACGGAGCTGCGCGAGTACCGCCAGGTGTTCCGCGGCAACGACGAGGCGGGCAGCCTGGACAACATCGGCCGGAGGTACGCGTGGTTCCGGCGCACGGTCAAGGCGCACGAGGAGGAGCACGCGGCCATCTTCCCGCCGCACTGGCGCGTCAGCGAGGTCCTGGCCACCGCGTTCTGCGAAGGAACGCGCGACGACTTCAGGGGCATCCTGGAGCGCAGCATGCGGCGCACCGACGGCGCCAAGATTGACGTGAATCTGCTCTTGTCCTGCCTGCAGGAGACGCTCGACTTTGAGCAGAGCCTGGAGAGGCGCTTCTCCAACGAGCCGCGAGCGAGCATCGACACGTTGAGCTCTGCGGAGGAAAAGACGTATTCATTCAACGGACTCATCTCGGTTGCGTTTGAGCCGTACCTCAGCCTATGGGTTGACTCACAAGACAGGCAACTTGCTGCAATGATGCCAAAGTACAGGAATCAGCCGTCAATACCGCCCGACGACGAATTCTCGCCGCAAGCGGTGATGCAGTCCGCCATTGAGCTGTTTCACTTTTACAAGCTCACCCTATCACAATGCGCAAAGCTGTCGACTGCGGAACGGCTACTCGACCTATCAAAGATACTCGCAAAGTATCTCGACGAGTACGCGCAGCAAGTCTTGCTACACAAGCTCCAAGCCTCCGGCCAAACACTACCCGCGATGCAGGACTGCATCCTGGTGCTCAACACGGCCGACTTTTGGCACGCAAACACAAACCAGCTGGAGGAGAATATCAAGAAGCGCATAGACCCGGACCTCGTCGGCAGGGTCGACCTGTCATCCCAGTCCGACGCCTTCCTTGGCGTGGCCAGCGCCTCGGTATTGGCGCTGGTGCGGATCGTGGAGCAGCACTGCGAGGGCGTCTGGCGAGAGATGAAGAACACGAACTGGAGCACGATGGAGACCGCGGGCGATCAGAGCTCATACGTCGGCGAGCTTGTGAAGCACGTCAACGACAAGACGCAGGAGATTCTGGCCGTGGTGGGCAAGCAACAGTATGCCAGGGCCTTTTGTGATAATCTTGTCGAGCACTTGGCAACAAGCTACATTAACCAAATTGTGCAATGCCGGCCAATATCAGAGATCGGTGCTCAGCAGGTATGTCGCTTATTCCTCCCCGAATTTCTTTTACATGCAAGACTAACAGTGGTGGCAGATGCTGGTGGACAAGTATGCACTTACAAAGTCTTTCGGCACCCTGATTCTTCAGCACAACCCATCACCGACGCCTCAACCACCGCCGGCCGGCTTCGTCCGGAGAGTCGAGCAATCCATGGGTCGTGTCGACCCGCTGCTCAAGACGCTGCAGATCCGGCCGTCGCCGCCCGAGGGTCTCGTGCAGGCGTACCTCATCCACATCGGCGACAAGTCGGACACCAACTTCCGCAAGATCCTGGAGCTCAAGGGCGTGCGCAAGCAAGACCACGCGCACCTGATGGAGCTGTTCGGCATCCACCGCGAGGGCAGCGGGGGCCACGACAAGCTGGTGGCGAGCTCGCCGCTGCTGACGCCGCTCATGGCGACCACGACGACATCGGGTCTCGGCGGCAGCAGCAGTACCGCCACCGCGGCGGCGGGCGCGGCGTCGGTGCTGACGGGCACCGCGGCGCGGGGTGCCTTTGACGCGGGCTCGCTGGGCGAGAAGCTGCTGAGCGCGGCGCGGGACATTGGCACGGCGAGCGCGGCCGGGATGCCCGGCGGCGTCGGCGTCGGTGCGGACAAGGCGACGATCAACGAGAACTTGCGCAACTTTGGCAAGTTTTTCCGAAGGGACATTGGCGGCCTGGGCGCGCGGTTCGGAAAGCGGGACGGCAGCCTCGGCGCCGAGGGGGAGCAGCGATGAGCGGTCCGTCATGGTGGGCTGGGTTCGAGTGTGGGTGCCGCTCGGCGAAGATGACGTCGGCAAGCTGGGTTGTTGCATGGACATGGCTACGCGCAGGACCCCGGTCGGCAGTCGGCGATCCGAGTTGATGTTGGTGTCTTGGTCATTGATGGAGGGTGGCGTGGTACCATCACGGACAACACGGCAGATGGGGAAACGGGCGTGTACAGACTCTACACCTGAGAAGGATCAATAAATAAAGAAAGAATGTATATTACTAGAAATTGATTGTATATTGATTATGCAAGGCAGGCGATGGCACTAGTTTTGAAAGATTTGTCAACTCGATTTACAGGCAGCAAGCTTTGTCTCTCTGTCTGTCTGTCTGTCTGTCTGCAGTGGCGTTATTCAGCAGCCAGCCAACGCAAAAGGGTGACAAATGAACCGATTCCCACCGTGAATTTTTCCAAATCAAAATGCCTGTAAAAACAATCACTTTCATTTTATTCATATCGTCTTCTTCTTTATTCCTCGACTTTCATTCATCCTCAGGACATCAAGCTCTCTCTCTGCCCCACCACCCCTCCTCCCCCTCGCTCGAGCTCGGAGGCACCAAAACTTGAATTAGTCAACAAACTCACGCACTCACGCACTCACTCACTCACGCGCAGCAGCCCACCACTCACCACACAGCCCGCGATTCCCCATAAAGTCCCTCTCTTTTCTCCTTCTTCCTTCCTCTCCCTCCACTCCGGCGTGTATCGCAAACAACCGCCAAACTGTTTGCCTCTGCTTTTCGACGGCCGCTACGCTCCAGCGCCGGATTTTCTCTCGCCGCCGTCGCCACAGTCGCAGCCGCGACCACCAAGTACCCCCAAGCCGCGTCGAAGCCAGCCGAGCTGGGAACAAGAGCCATGCACAGCAAGGTTGTCAGTACGTTTCTTGCGAATTCCCGGGACCAGCCATTGCTGGTGGTCTTTTCGAGGGGACGAGGACACGATCTAAGCTAACGCTGCCTGTCCAGTCATCGGATCGGGCCCGGCCGCCCACACGGCCGCCATCTACCTCGCCAGAGCAGAGCTGAAGCGTGAGTCTCGTCGATTGCAAAGTGGAATCCCGCGGGTGGACAGCACAACTGACAGAGACATTTCCCAGCCGTCCTCTACGAAGGCTTCATGGCCAACGGCACCGCCGCCGGCGGCCAGCTCACCACCACGACCGACGTCGAGAACTTCCCCGGCTTCCCCAAGGGCGTCATGGGCCAGGAGTTGATGGTATGTTAAGGCGTTCCATGCGAAAGAGAAAACGGCCCAGTCGCGCAAGGCGAGCATTCTAACAAAGCCTCTCCTCCTTCTTTCAGGACAACATGCGCGCGCAGTCTGAGCGCTTCGGCACCGAGATCGTCACCGACACCGTCACCAAGCTGGACCTCTCCTCGCGACCCTTCAAGTACAGCACCGAGTTCGCCCCCGACGAGACGCACACCACCGACGCCGTCATCGTCGCCACCGGCGCCTCCGCCCGCCGCATGGGCCTCCCCGGCGAGGACAAGTACTGGCAGAACGGCATCTCCGCCTGCGCCGTCTGCGACGGCGCCGTCCCCATCTTCCGCAACAAGCCCCTCTTCGTCATCGGCGGCGGCGACTCCGCCGCCGAGGAGGCCACCTTCCTGACCAAGTACGGCAGCCACGTCACCGTGCTCGTCCGCCGCGACCAGCTGCGCGCCAGCAAGACCATGGCCAAGCGGCTGCTCGCCCACCCCAAGGTGACGGTGCGCTTCAGCGCCTCCGCGACGGAGATCCGCGGCGGCGAGGACGGGCTCATGTCCCACATCGTCGTCAAGGACAACGTGACGGGCGGGGAGGAGGTGCTGGAGGGCAACGGGCTGTTCTACGCCATCGGGCACGATCCCGCGACGGCGCTGGTCAAGGGCCAGCTGGAGATGGACGGGGAGGGCTACGTGGTGACCAAGGCGGGGACGACGCTGACGAGCGTGCCGGGCGTGTTCGCGGCGGGCGACGTGCAGGACAAAAGGTACCGCCAGGCGATCACGAGCGCGGGCACGGGGTGCATGGCGGCGCTCGAGGCGGAGCACTACCTGTCGGAGCTGGAGGCGGGCGAGTGACTGGATGGCAGCGGCAGGGAGAAGAGCATGCTGTGAATTGGGACGGTATTCGAGACAGGGCCGTGGCTTGCACGTTTAGAGAAATAGAGTACACAGTACAGTACAAAGAGATTATGTGCGGAGTATACCGCCTGAAGAGGTAGATACATGGACTAAGCTTTTGTTCCTGATTGGAACTGTACAAAAACGGGTGCTTGAATCGAAAACCTTGAAAAAAGAGAGGATGATGGGAGGAAGAAGCGACGCTGCGTCAAGGCGCGACCGTCTCCGGAGGAAGGGTCCGGACGTACACGACCGGGCCCTCGTACTGGTGCGTCCCGCGGAAGAAGTAGTACACGACGGAGAAGAGCGCGACGCCGCCGTAGATGACCACGTTCCAGTTCATCTCCGCCGCCTTCGGGTTCGGGTTCGGCGGCATGAAGGCCAGCACGAAGATGACCACCAGGAACGCCTCCGACGCGATGTTGATCGGGAGCCCCCAGCGGCCGAGGCTGAACTTGGAGGGCAGCAGCGGGCTGCCCGTCGCGCGCCGCCAGACGATGCACCCGATGGAGACGATGTAGCTCGAGAGGATGGACGTGGTGGCGAGCGAGGTGATGGAGTTGAGGGCGACCGCGGAGCCGATGTTGATGAGCGCCAGCAGGCTGGAGACGACAAAGGTGACGAGGATGGCGTTGATGGGCACGTCCCAGCCGACGGGCACGCTGGCGAGCCAGGGGCTGAAGGGCAGGGCGCGGTCACGCGCAAAGGCGAAGACCTGCCGCGAGGCGGTGGCGACCATGGTCAGGTTGGCGAAGACGGTCATGGCGACGACGAAGACGGACATGGCGGTGGCGCTGCGCGCGGAGCCCGTGGCGTTGAGGAAGACGGCCATGAAGGGGAAGCCCGTCGGCGAGGCGAGCACGGCCTCGAGGTCGCCGATGCAGAAGCACAGCGTGATGACCATGATCCAGCCGAACGCGCCGTTGAAGACGGTCGTCATCATCATGGACCGCGGCAGCGTGCGGCCCGCGTCGCGCAGCTCCTCCGACATGTGCACCGCCGCGTCGGCACCGAGCAGCGGGAGCACGCCCGCCAGGATGCCGACGAGCGTCGAGCCGCCGAGGCTGCCCCAGCCGCCGCCGTCGGTGAACTCGGTGAAGACGGCGGAGGCGTCGGCGCGCGGCGAGAGCACCCACAGGGCGACGAGGATGCCGAAGAAGCCAAAGACGTGGATGATGAGGACGAGGGCTTCAATCAGGGGCAGCTTGCGCGCGAGCAGCGTGTTGAAGAGCACCGAAAAGGCGGCGACGGCGATGGCGAGCAGCGTGCCGTGCCAGGGCTGCGGCGCGTACGAGTCGGGCCAGTTGAGCACGATAAGGCCCTGGATCTGCGTGCCGGCAATGAAGGCCGACGATGCGCACGACGTCTGCCACCCGAGCACGCACATCCATCCGATGAGGTAGCTGAGGAGCTTCTGGTGCTGCGGCGGCGCGAACTCGGACACCCAGTGGTACTGACCGCCGGAGGTGGGTGCCCTGATGCCGGAAGTGGCCGTGTTAGCTGGATGACAGGAGGAGGGTAGAGAGGGAACCGGAGGACGCTTACATGGAAGCCATCTCGGCCATGGACGTGTTGACCACCATGAAGCCCATCCAGCAGACAAAGAACATCCAGATGAGACCAGCAGTACCGCCGTTGATGAGACCAATGGTAGCGACACTGCAGAATATGTTAGTCACTGTCGAAGGGGAAGGAACGATATCAAGATGGAATGCCTACCTCAAGCTAAACTCCCACGAGGCCATGAGAATCATGGAAAAGCCCAGGATGGACAGGAAGCGAAAGTTCCTCTACACTCTCATTAGCAACAAGTTTTCTTCGCCAGCAAGTCAAAAGCCAGCAAGAGTCTTATCCTCACCCTCATCTCTTGAGCCTTGCCCATGCGGTACATGTCGAGGCGATCGCCCGCATTGCCATTCTTTTCATCCACGCCCTCGGCATAGACGCCGCCGGCATCGAACGCTTTGTCGTCGGTCCCCATTCTGTACGGGATATGAAAAGACGAACGGCGTAGGGCCAGGGCCAGGGAAGATGTGAGGTGAAAGAGGAAAGCAGGTCAAACTAAAAATTTTGAAGACAAGAAGAAGAAGAGAAGCTGTCACAAAAAGCCTTATCCGCTTTTCGATGCAACAACTGGGAAGATTGCGTCCCATGTGCCTGGCTCGAATCTGCACGCCATTTTTTACAGACTATCAGTTTCGGACCCAATGCCCCCCCCCTCGTCTCCATTTCCTCGTGGATTAGATGGCAATAATCTGGCGGATATTTCTTCAGGTCCCGAAATTGAGGAAGGGTCTTTCTCTCGGGAGAGCATGCCGTCGGGGGGTTTGGCGACTCATGACCGGTGGAGGGGGGACGGGCCGCCAAAGAAGAATAGGTCGAGAGGAATCAGAAGGCCATGGCTGTAGAAAAGAGTCCGCGGGCTGCAGGTAAATAAAGGGGGGGGGGATGGTCTCCCAGAGCCTTCAAGGATATAAATGAAGACTATAGCCCGCGTGTACTTAATACTCCGTGCTTGGCAGCGGGCCGTACTGGTGGGCCCTCTTCTAACTTGCTTGCTTCTCGGAAAGAGGTTTCTGGGGCCAGGAAAACGTGTTGATATTCGCCCATTAGAGTCGAGTTCGCAGCTTGACCAACGCTTGCTCGTCCAAAGAAGCCCCCAAGGCAGCCTCAATCTGGTAGGTGAATCCAGGGGCAGCCCGCCGCCTCTGCCGCGCGAGACCACGATCTCTCGCAAACCAAAATATTGGACCTAGAACGGCGAAAGAAGAGGTGGTGGAACAAACTAGTCATAAAAATAAAGCCGGGCGTCTTCTTCATCCTGTCAATGGTGGAGGCAGGTAACGTTCCGTAACGTTAGTTGGCCGGCATGGGTCTTGGCCCGGACAACGTCTTTGACCAATTGCAGTCGAAGCCGCCGAATTTTCCCAGGCTCCCTCTTTCTCTTATTTCTTTATGAATGGTTGTTTATTATAACCTCTCTCTTGCACATATAGCCCCTTCGGTTCGAATCTTCTCCTATTTCCTCGTCCAACGCGCTGCATGTCGCTCAGCTGTATCGTGTCGTGCTCGAAGATATTCTGCAACAGTCTTCAGACTCGAGTGCCAAGTAGTGCACAGTCGACTCGGGCTATTTGCTTCGCCAGGAAAAAAAAAACAAAAAAAAACAAGAATTGATATAAGGTTGCAGTATCCAGGTGTGCAGCGGTTCCATAAAACCTCTCCCCCCAACCCGGTCACCAAATTTCTTCAAGGGTCCGCCTTGGCTGTTCCACAGTGTCGGAGAGAAGACCCTCTGCGGATTGCAAGTATGTCGTAAGGAAAACAAGACCCCTGTAGCCACTGCTGTGTGGTCATCATGCTTGTCGGAGAATACCAAGATTATCTGCTCGTGTGAGGTTGGTCGAGGTCGGAGGGCGAATTCGTCTTGAACTAAATCAATCCGCCTTCGCATCCCTTCTCTCCTAGCAATGTGCCTCATTCTCGCAGTGTGAATCCGATCGCCTCTCTACAATGGAAGTGCAAACGTTTGGTGACGGGCCGCGCTTCTCGCCGGTTACCTCTAGCGACCATGCTGGGCAGCTGTGGATTGTCACCATCCTGGCGCTCGTCTACAGCTCTCTCGTCAGCACGGCTAGGGCATACGTGAAGTACAAGATGTTCGGGATAGACGACATCTTGATCGCTTCCGCAACGGTAACGCGCAGTCCGACTCGGTTTTGGCCGTCATTACTCGGGTGATCTGACGGTAGCTTTCCTCCTAGGTTTTGCAACTCGCACAATCCATTGCCATCTTTGTGGGACTAGGAAATGGTGGTCTTGGAAAGTTCAACTCCATCACGACGTCCGAGCAGTGGAGGACGTCTTCCAAAGTACGCTCACAATTACTGCCATCAAGACGCACCTACTGACACCTTTGCGACACAGTCGACGCTGGCGGCCATGATTCTCGGCTTTCTGACAATGTGTCTGTCGAAATGCTCCCTCCTCGCACTTATACTTCGAATCATTGGCCGAAAGACGGGCAAGAGCAGGCCGATTTGCATCGCAATGATGGTTGTGAGCGCAATGTGGGGAGTGGGATCCTGCATCGCGTACCTGGCAAACTGTCGAGCCGATACATTATTGACGCCGGAGAACATCACACAATGTCCAAGCCAGGTAGGGAGTTTCCGTCCCGAGACCGCAACCATCAGCTGACCGGGTGCGTTGTATGTGTGTGCATAGGAAACGCGCTGGGCAGTCATCACAGCGGTTGATATTTTCACCGAAGTTGCCGCCTGGCTGCTGATGGTGGAACTGACCTGGAGCGTCAACATGTCAGCCGCGCGCAAGTTCCAAGTCATCATGGCCTTCTCTTTTCGGCTGCCGCTCGTCATCCTCTCCGGCGTCCACCTACACTACTTTGACCAGTATCCGTCGGCTGCCGAACCGCAGTTCGCCGTCATCGACAGTCTACTCTTCCAGCAGGCCATGATCTCGTGGTCCCTGATCTCGGCGACGGTGCCAAACCTCAAAAACTTTCTCAAGTCCTTTTCGATTGGCATGGGCTTCCCGCTGGCGTACGACGATACCATGAGCGGGTCGGGGGGGGCATACGCTCTGCGGTCTTTTGCCAACAGTCGTTCCAAAGGGACGGCGGCGGCGGGATCGGCGGCAGGAAACACAGGCGTGGTGTCGACGACCATCTCGGCAAGGCGGCGATCGGACGCCGGGCAGTCTGCTCAGGTGTCGCCGCACGGTTGGCCAGCGGGAGGCGTGCTGTCTGGTCAGACGACAGAGGCGCAGCCGTATGCGACAAGCAGCAGGGAGCACGTGGACGATGACGCCAACTCCGGGACGGGTAGCCAAGACATGATTATCAGCAAGGAGATTGCTTGGAAGATAACGTATGAAGAGCGGTCCTAATTATTTAGTAGGGGACGTAGTTTCGGGTGGAGGTGTATGACTTGTTGGGCTTGTTGGTGTTGGTAGGATAATCGTCACAAGCTTTGCCAAACTCTGTAGATTCACAACCAAAACCCATGATGATGCAATCCAGCGTCCCTTATCAAGCCATGCCTCGATCCAAAATGATGTCGCTGAAAGCCGGAAGCTGAACTGAGCAAACGGAGTGGAGAGCTTAGTGTCAGGAGTCGAATTGTGATATCACTGTCGCTCGGTGTGGGATTCGGTGCCACTCCCGCGGTTGCCAACACGTCTAAGCTATCAAAAAAATCGAATCAGGGCATAGTTGCTAATTGAATAGTCAACCATCATCTGGATGTGGCTTTCGGACGTGGCGTTGGGAAGTGGGAAGGTGGAAGAGGGAAATTGAACGCCTGCACCCACTAACACCAACAAAAAAGGACCCCTACTTCCCCCCCCCCCCCCCCCATCCTGGTCGCACCGCTACAGTATCACTCGGAACTCACCACCACCATCCCCTTTTCTTCCTGCCTCGACATTCACGACAATGACGCCGCAATATTCCTCTGGCGGCGCATATAAATCAGCCCAACAGCTAGAGAGTCCCTGCCTGCTCTGGCCACGTCGAGCAGGGTCGTGGCACTGCCCACTTCGCTCCCCATCTTCCAATCCACAGCAACTGTGGACCACAAACGGGAATGGACGACTGTTCGGGAAATACTCCCCCTCCCCCTCCCTCACTACCTTCTCCCATCAAGATGCCACAATTGGCAAGGGGGAAGAACGCATAATGTGGCGGCCCGCGCCATGGCGGTAGCACCTCTGGGAGGATACTCAAAGTGCTGCCGGCCCCATCCCTGCCTGCAGCTTAGCCCGCGGCGCCTCTCTGATCTCGGCGATATTCATCATCGTTCTTGCGACCTCTAGGCATCACAGCAAGAACTCTCAGCCATGCCCGAAATTGTCGTCCGAGACGCCCGCTACTCGGAGCTACCCGAGATTGCGCGCCTCATGGCCGCCGCCTTCTGGGACGACAACCTCTTCGGCGAGCACATCCATCCCCACCGCTCCCAGTACCCGGACGACATGTACCTCTACTGGCTTCGCCGCGCCCGCGTCAACTTCTGGGACTACCGCTATCGGTTCCTCGTCGCTGTTCGCCGCGAAGCCTCCTCGCCCACCACCGGCCGGGAGGAGGAGGACGTCATTGTCGGCACCGCGCTGTGGACGCGCCTCGGCGATGGCGGCCGCGCACTTGAGCTCTGGCCCGTCGATCCCCGTACGTCCC